AAAGACAACTGCCAATCAATCCATTCAATCGTTTGATTGTCATTTAAACATAACATTAAATCATTTATTAAACAAGACTTGTTTTGCAATTAGTTTAAAAACATATTTGTTTATCATTAATGATTGGGAGATATGAAATCATGTTACCGTAAGTGATAATGAAATTGATTTTTTGATATTTGTCTAAAACTTACCAAAAATTAAGTCTATGTTGAATAACAACATTTAAAAAATTAGTCTATAAAAGTCTATACTATAGAAATTTGATTGAGTCTATACTATAGACTCTAAAGTAATCCGATTGCGAATGCAATCCTATAAACCAAACTAATTACCGGTATTTATGTCATAAATATACTGTAAATCTGAAAAACAGTTTACAATTACCGGTAAATAATTGGTTTCACAAAACAATGAAAACATGAAAAATTAAAAACAATTTTATTCATTGATTCAAACGAATGTATAAATGAATGGCAAATACGACCAAAACAGTCAACAACTGGTGCACCACTTCATCACTTCTTGCCCTCAATCATAATGATATGGTAACCAAACTTAGTCTTCACGGGCGGATCCGTTATGATGGGCGAGCCAGTGGTGGACACCGGCAGTGCAAACGCCGCCTATTAATCACAACAAAACCCATCACACCATTAGACAACAGTGTCACCCACACATCCCAAGAGCACATACATCCTGGAAGGCGCCCACCATTGACCCCCTGGTCATCCAACCCAAGTCACCGCCACTGCGGGCCTTGTCTTCGCTGTACTGTTGGGCGACTTCATTGAACTTATTGCCGGCCCTTATCTTCTCCAACGCCTCCAATATCTTCGACTGCTTCTCACACAATATGTGGCGAACCTTAAGACATATCAATGAGACAACCATTAGATGCCATTCAGCGACCACCGAGTGGTGATGTCATGTCATGTCATGAGGCATACCTTCACCGAAGAGGTCCCGCCCTTCTTCTCGTCCTTCCCTCCCTTCGCGCCGTCCTTTCCATCGCTTTTCGTATCCTTTTTGGTGTCTTTGGTCGCCTTCTTCGGCGGCATTTCTGTCTTCGGGTCGCGATTTGTGGCAAACTTTGCGCTCAATTGAAGCAAACTTTGTATTTCTCATTCAAACACAACACAAACCCTGCGATCAAAACAAAACATATTTTATGTATATATCGCACATTCAGGCATTTGTTTGTAGTTTTCATTAGTTATCTATTATTAAAACTAATTTAATTAAATGCATTTGAGTTTAAAATTAACAAAAATAATATTTTATATAATTATTACACGTTTTGTTAAATTTTATAAATTTAATTATAAATTGCAAAACTTTTACACTGTTTTAGACAATTTAGTCGTAATGTATGAATAATAGTCAACAGAATCTTATGATGGATAACGTAGAAATGAATACAAATAAGTCCACAATAAGCGAAATGTTTGTAGAAAACGAGTTTAAAGTTTCAAACTTTTCTCTCAAACATAAACTTTGAGTCAATCATTGAATCATTGAATAGACAATCGGTTTGCAAATAGTCTTCATCTGAATGTCCAGACAATGAGTGAACCGACGATTGAATCGTTTACCAAACACTTGAATCGCTTAGTATCTGATCCAGAGATCGTTGGCAATGACTTGCGGACAATCATCGAGTCATTGGTTACCATTTACAAGGAACTGATGAGACGAAAGGAGCACAAGATTCAGAAGTCAGACAACTGTCCCAAACTGTGGACCTATTCATCAGCACAAGAGCTGCTTCTGAGCGGCGGTTGGAAGCGATTCGGCGAAGACTGTCTCGTCTTCAACGGCAACCACACCGCCATAAATGTCCGCAAATGTCTGGAGCTGTTGGTGGATAAGCGTAACGTTAAGCCCAATGCCGAGCAATGGGTGAATGATAACAAAGTGATGGCTAATCCCGAGGAGGAGAAGGAGCGCCGTCTGCGAGAAGAGGGACGTCTGCAGCGGTTGAAGGACTTGGAAGAGTTCAACAGAGATAAGATGGAAAGACTCAGAATCGCAGACAACGTCAAGAAAGAGCTCATCTCTGATGCCAGACATCGACAACTGATGCGACGCACAGCTGATCCGTCGCCGAGTGAGACATCACTGGAATCACCACTCGATTCAGCTTAAGAAGTGCAATGAATGGCCAAAATGTACTCAAAAAAGTCAATTACATTACTATTCATAGCAATATGACCACTATTTTTGTTATAAATTTAAATGATTTTAATTTTGTATAATTTTTTTTAACTCCTAATGTCTGTCAGTATTTAAATTTCTATTTAATTGTTAATTAATGAATGTTCAAAGTATTTAAGACATGTTTGTAATTACCGCACATTGTTTACGGTATAAACCAAATAAAACTTGCGATTGTTTTTCATATAATAATCATTCGTTTTAATTTGTATTCAATAACTTGAAAGTGAAATACAAATACAAATGTCATATAATTCTCAAACTTCACAAAATAGACAATTGAATCACAATTTGAATCAAATATAATACGATATAAAGTTATTGATTAGTAAAATAGTGCAAAAATATCTCAAAAAACGTATTACTGGCAAAGTACTGTACAGTATACCGTACAAGTGATAAATAACAAAATGTTTAAAAATTTAAAACCAGTTAAAATAATAATTGAATGGTTTTACGTATAAAATAATAGTTTTGGTCTTAAAACCAATGGTTGACAGAAAAAAATACAAATCAAAGTCTAAAATATCTAACGACGAATCAATCATCAATTGTAATTTGGATGATATCGTCGTTTTTGTTCGCTTTATTCGACTTAATGCTGACATTCGGCGAAATTAAAGTCGAATTTTTCGATCCAATCGCCGATCGGTGGCTAAACAGACGTTGAGGTGAGGTATGGATTATTGAGTGTTGAGTAGTGGTAGAAGTGATGAGCAGTTTATTAGACTTAGAGGTCTTGAGATCATCAGTGGCTGGAGTGGACTCCTTGATTACAACTGTGTCCACACTGTCGTCGGATCCGTCGGGAACTATCATCTCTGCGGTCACATCGAAATCATTACCGGTTTTGGACGTATCGTACGATGAATTGCTAGTGGCGTCCGAAAAGGCTGTCAACGCTTCCAACGCCGCCTCACTTGTGATCACTTTAGCGCAGAGTTTACCACTCATTGAGCCATTGGTCGGATCAGTCATATTGAGACCAAACGCGGAATTGTAGGCCATATTTGGGTTAAAACTCTTGAACGCGGGGTTTCGTATGAATACATTTTGCCCTCTTTTGCGAATCCGTAACTTTTCTTGAGACAAATTAGAGGACAGTTCGGTCAAACGGACGGCCGGGTGTGTGGAGGGAGTGGACAGTCGTATAAATCTTGGAGCGCAAGAATTGGGTGATTTTAGGGGTGAGGTTAGCACCGATGAGCTAATGGGTCCCGCATTCAACGCAACAATACTAGTGTTGGCACTGGGAGTGGCCTTTATAATGGTCTGTCCATTAGGGTGGGCGCCACCGTCCATGGGGAACACCACTTGAGGCACGGCTTTACCTGGAATTTGGACTTGAATTGGGGTTACGTTAGGGTTAGTAGAGTTAACAATGACTGAACTGTTGCTCACTAAAGGCATTAACATATACGACGACTGTTTGTTTATAGTGAGGATAGTGTTGGGGTTGACAGGGAAGGGAGGCTTAGGAACTATAGCTACGGGCCGTCGCAACTGCGAGACGAGTACCGAGTTTTGGGGGACAGTGGGCGTGTAAGTGGGCGAAAAGGGAGTCTTAGGAATGTCTGTCATATCGGTCTGCGATTGCGTTGAGACAAGAAGTTTAGGTGAGATAACTATCGGCGAAGACGTCACCCTTTGTTCACACTTTTCTAATAACCGCTCATTTGTTTGTACTAATGGTCAGCAAAGAGATAATTGGAAAAGAGATTTAGTTTAGAGAAACAATTAGTAAAAACTATTAGAAAATATTAAAGTCTTATCAATGGATTCAGACCCGAAGTATCGATTGTCTTAACAACCGCCGAGTTCGGCAAATGGTGGCCATTAGTGGTCTCACTATGAGCTCTAAGACTTCTTCGGCACAAAGACAACGCTTTCATTGGGAATGACTTCTTCGCTGTATTTGTTCGCTTAAAGACTCGATTAAAACTTTCTTCAGAGGACTCTTCATCTGAATCCATATGTCTCTTGAGTCTGATCTGTCGGTTGTCATCAAATGCCGGCAAAACCAGACTCTCAGTGATGGCACGTCTGGCCTCTTCCAGCAGTTGTGTCGTGCCATCGATGGAGAAGTCGTTGTTCTCGAGCACCGCATATATCACCGACTTCTGGATTATCTCATCCGTGGTGTCAATCTTTGACAACTCATCGGCCAATTGTCTCACCGTTTCTAAGGGCCGCGTCGGCCACACGTCGGGTAACAACGGCTTAGTCTTCGGCACAAACACGTGATTGTCATCATTGGTGTTGACAATCATTGGCCGTGTGTTCAGACCATTCACATCGATAACTGTGTATCCATTGGTTTGGCGACCATTTGTGTCCACTTTGATTGTCATCGAGTGTTGGCCACCATTGAGGCCATTGACCACAATTGCCGCACATTTATCACAACTACAAGAACTATACAGACATTGATTGGCATGTCTTGGCGTGGCGTATGACTTCTTGCCATGACTCAGACAGTGACCACAGAAACTCATAATTGGACACAAACTGTGGTAACAGATAACAGACAAATCAATCAATAGATCCAATGGTGAATCCAATGGTGGATCCAATGGTGGATCCAATGGTGAATCCAATGGATCGCCTCAACACAGAGAGTTCGGGTGATTATGAGCTCAAGAGTGGGTCCATGAATGGATTGGTGGACACATTGGATGAGTACTTGTGGTAACCATAAGCCATGAATGAGTGAATCAATTGATGACTGGTTTCTGCAATCAATGCAAACGAACCCCAAAACCGAGAAATGCTTTCAATTTGTGTTTATTTCCTCAATATTTGTGTCTATTATACGAAGGGGTCGTCCATTCAGTGCGATATGCATTCAAATGCACACAGAATTCATCGTAAAAGTGAATTTCATTTTCAATGAATCGCTGATCAGTTTTATTCTCGCATTGAATGCGAAATATAGGAAAAAATCAATTTTTAATCGATATATAAATGTGTGTTTTATTTCTCACTATTTGTTTGACACTCAATCTATTAACTATACGACTAGTCTATATGCTGTGTATTAGATGTTTCACTAACAGTAGAATATATGGAAACATAAGATTCTAGTGTTTTATTTGTTTGTTGTGTTTAACTTATTGCACAGGTGTTTGTATTGATCCCACATTGCGATTAGAAAATTATATAATTTTTTATGGTTAAGTGAACAACTTTTTATGTTTAATATGTGATGTTTATTGAAAGTTGTGCTGAATTTTATGTTTTATTTGTAGACTAGGATTGCCTGTCGTTGATAGCAGTCCTGACACAAAGATATGATAATTATTCATATGTTGTGTGAATTAT